ACTGACTAGTATTCCAGCATTTCTTCTCCCTCGTTTTCTCTCCCCCAAGTACATAACATGGCCCTGGGGAAGGGAGGTCAGGGGGCCAAACAAGGATGCTGTGCAGGTGCCGAAGTCCTTGTTATCAACCAATAGCATGGATGGTTGTTAGGGCTTTGGCAGCTGGGCCGCACAGTGCCCACGGTTGTAATGTGGCTTTATGTAACAAAAGGCAGGCTTGATCCACCCACTGGCCTAATTCCAATTGTTGGGCAATTTAAGGCAATTTTATGCATTTTGCCAAGGCACCCTGGAAGAAAAAGGCTGCACTAGAGGGATCACGGGAGGAAGGAGGTCCTGATTCCTCTATATTTATCTTTATATCACTACAGGGGTCACCAGTAGAAGGAAGGAGGTCCTGATTCCTCTATAGACATCTTTAAATCACTAGAGGGGTCACCGGCAGGAGGAAGGAGGTCCCGATTCCTCTATAGACATCTTTATATCACTAGAGGGGTCACCGGCAGGAGGAAGGAGGTCCCGATTCCTCTATATAGATCTTTATATCACTAGAGAGGTCACCGGCAGAAGGAAGGAGGTCCTGATTCCTCTATATAGATCTATCACTAGAGAGGTCACCGGCAGAAGGAAGGAGGTCCCGATTCCTCTATATAGATCTTTATATCACTAGAGGGGTCACCGGCAGGAGAAAGGAGGTCCCGATTCCTCTATATAGATCTTTTTATTACTAGAGAGATCACCAGCAGAAGGAAGGAGGTCCTGATTCCTCTATATAGATCTTTTTATTATTAGAGGGATCACCGGCAGGAGGAAGGAGGTCCTGATTCCTCTATATAGATCTTTATATCACTAGAGGGGTCGCCGGCAGGAGGAAGGAGGCCCTGATTCCCCTATATAGATCTTTATATCACTAGAGAGGTCACCGGCAGGAGGAAGGAGGTCCCGATTCCTCTATATAGATCTTTTTATTACTAGAGGGGTCACCAGCAGGAGGAAGGAGGTCCTGATTCCTCTATATAGATCTTTATATCACTAGAGGGGTCACCGGCAGGAGGAAGGAGGTCCTGATTCCTCTATATAGATCTTTTTATTACTAGAGAGATCACCAGCAGCAGTATGGAGGTCCTGATTCCTCTATATAGATCTTTTCTGTGTCCAATTCTGGAGATCTCACTTACATAAAAAAATATTGATAAGGGATAGAATGGATCCAGAGATGGGCAACAAAAATGGTGAGAGGTCTGAGGGATATAAAACATATCAGGAGAGACTTCATGAACTACATTTTTACAGTCTGGAGGAAAAAAGGTTCAGGAGGGCAGCATCTTCAATATGAAGCCAAGATAAAGAACACGGAGACGTGACCTCAAACTAGCAGGAGGAAATTTCAACACTAATCTTAGAAAGTAATATTTTATTGGAAGAGTAGTTGATGCTTGGAATAGACTTCCTTCAGACATAGTCAACAGTAAAAGGATGCAAACATTCTTGGAACAAACAGATCTATACTCAGACAAAAAAAAAAAAACCAAAAAAACGTATAAATATAAAAAAATAGGACCGACACGATGGGCCACTCGTTTTTTTTTTTCTGCCATCATTCTTTGTTTGTGTTTCCTCGAATTTCACCATTTCAGTATGATGCTTTGGAGCCAAAGGAAAAGCGTAATTAATTTGGTTTTCGGTGGTTTCCCAATGTTGCCACCAGTTTGAAAAGCTCATGTCTAATATCCGAGACCTGTTGTTGTGCCAGAAAACAGCAACTCATTAGCTGAAAACATCATTTTTAAATTGAGAGGAACAAAGAAACCCAAACCCTGGGCAAAAAAAATCTCATAATTATTTCCTTTCAAGCAAATTTCACCAAAGCTGTCCACGCAAGTATGCCAACATTTCGGTGACGGTGAAAGTAATGATTTCACAGCTCCTAAATCTCTCCACTCTTCAGTAATCTCTCCATTCTTTTCCATGTTTAGTTTTTAAGGAGGAACTTGAGTCGCTCCTTTGACTTTTTTTTTTTTTTTCGCTCCACCTACCTGTCACACAGAGTTGTCCCGGATTTAGATAGTCACCTGCCCACTAGATCCAGCTTTGTCCTGCTGCAATCCGCTAACCAGGTGTAACAGCCTGGGTCCTGTGCCGCCATCTTGGTCCTCCTAACTCATAGGAAGACTGCAGGTATAAGAAATGAAAATGACTACAGCTCCTAAATGTCTCTACTTTTCAGTAATCTTCCCATTCTTTTTCATGTTCAGTTTTTAAGGAGGAACTTGAGTCGCTCCTTTGACTTTTTTTTATTTTTTTAGCTCCACCTACCTGTCACACAGAGTTGTCCTGGATTCAGATAGTCACCTGCCCACTAGATCCAGCTTTGTCCTGCTGCAATCTGCTAACCAGGTGTAACAGCCTGGGTCCTGGGCAGGGGCAGACTGACAACTCATGGGGCCCCCGGGCAATAGGGGATCATGGGGCCCCTGTGTCCTTGCCCAAACTCAAAAAAGCCTATGAAAAAGGTATTAGGGGCATTTCATGGTGCCCCCTACTGACCCCGGGCCCCTGGGGCAGTGCCCGAGTTTCCAAATGGTCAGTCCGCCCCTGGTCCTGTGCAGCCATCTTGATCCTCCTAACTCATAGGAAGACTGCAGTTATGAGAAATGAAAATGACTACAGCTCCTAAATCTCTCCACTCTTAAGTAATCTTCCCATTCTTTTCCATGTTCAGTTTTTAAGGAGGAACTTGAGTCGCTTTTTTGACTTTTTTTTTAGCTCCACCTACCTGTCACACAGAGTTGTCCCGGATTCAGATATTCGCCTGCCCTCTAGATCCAGCTTTGTCCTGCTGCAGTCCGCTAACCAGGTTTAGCAGCCTGGGTCCTGTGCCGCCATCTTGGTCCTCCTAACTCATAGGAAGACTGCAGGTATGAGAAATGAAAATTACTACAGTCAGTGGGCAAAGCTGTGGTCTTCACTGGAGGCCAGCTGCCTGAACCCGTAAGAGGCAGCCAGCTAGCCTTTGGTGATGCCCACAGCTCCGCCTATCAACTGCTGTTATTCCCTAGCCCTGCATCCTTCTAGGATATGTGACGTGGAATCTCAGGAGGCTCAGGCAGCAGGGATACCTAATTCTCGGCTAGACGAGAATCGCACTGGGTGGGCAGGACAGGGTCTAAAGCAGCCTTTCTCAACTGTTTCAGCACAGAGGAACCCTTAAAATAACTTTCCAGTCTCAGGGAACCCCCTCTAAAAAACCCTATACCTACAACTCGTAATACATTAGTGTGATGATCAATGGGAAGAATGCTCCTCACACTTGTGGTCATTGAGAGATATTACCCCCTTACAAATAGCTAAAAAGATCAATGGTGTCAGTGGGAACTTATCTGAGAGGCAGAAATTGCTCATTGCTCAAGAAACCCCTAGAAACCTCTGGAGGAACCCTGAGGTTCCATAGACCCTGGTTGAGAAACCCTGATCCAAAGGGTAAAGAGCAAAAAGAAGCCAAAGAACAAAAAGTGTTGATTCATATTGTGGAGGTTAGTGGCCATGGAAAGAGCCTTAGATGATCTTGGGAGGTGAAAGTCCACTTTAGCAACCCCTAGCAACCTCTGGAGGAACCCTAGGGTTCCATAGACCCTGGTTGAGAAACCCTGATCCAAAAGGTTAAAAAAAAAAAAAAAAAGAAGCCAAAGAACAAAAAGTGTTGATTCATATTGTAGAGGTTAGTGGCCATGGAAAGAGCCGTAGATGATCTTGGGAGGTGAAAGTCCACTTTAAAAACCCCTAGCAACCTCTGGAGGAACCCTAAGGCTCCATAGACCCTGGTGGAGAAACCCTGATCCAAAGGGTAAAAGAGCAAAAAGAAGCCAAAGAACAAAATGTGTTGATTCATATTGTGGAGGTTAGTGGCCATGGAAAGAGTCTTAGATGATCTTGGGAGGTGAAAGTCCAAAGAACAAAAGAACAGCCAAAGAACAAAAAGTGTTGATTCATATTGTAGAGGCAGAAATTGCTCATTGCTCAGGAAACCCCTAGCAACCTCTGGAGGAACCCTAAGGTTCCATAGACCCTGGTTGAGAAACCCTGATCCAAAAGGTAAAAAAAAGGAAGCCAAAGAACAAAAAGTGTTGATTCATATTGTAGAGGTTAGTGGCCATGGAAAGAGCCTTAGATGATCTTGGGAGGTGCAAGTCCACTTTAGAAACCCCTAGCAACCTCTGGAGGAACTCTAAGGCTCCATAGACCCTGGTGGAGAAACCCTGATCCAAAAGGTAAAAAAAAACGAAGCCAAAGAACAAAAAGTGTTGATTCATATTGTAGAGGTTAGTGGCCATGGAAAGAGCCTTAGATGATCTTGGGAGGTGCAAGTCCACTTTAGAAACCCCTAGCAACCTCTGGAGGAACTCTAAGGCTCCATAGACCCTGGTGGAGAAACCCTGATCCAAAAGGTAAAAGAGCAAAAAGAAGCCAAAGAACAAAAAGTGTTGATTCAGATTGTGGAGGTTAGTGGCCATGGAAAGAGCCTTAGATGATCTTGGGAGGTGAAAGTCCACTTTAGCAACCCCTAGCAACCTCTGGAGGAACACTAGGGTTCCATAGACCCTGGTTGAGAAACCCTGATCCAAAAGGTAAAAAAAAAAAAAAAAAAGAAGCCACAGAACAAAAAGTGTTGATTCATATTGTGGAGGTGAGTGGCCATGGAAAGAGCCTTAGATGATCTTGGGAGGTGAAAGTCCAAAGAACAGCCAAAGAACAAAAAGTGTTGATTCATATTGTAGAGGTTAGTTGCCATGGAAAGAGCCTTAGATGATCTTGGGAGGTAAAAGTCCACTTTAGCAACCCCTAGCAACCTCTGAAGAACCCCAGGGTTCCATAGACCCTGGTTGAGAAACCCTGATCCAAAGGGTAAAAAGAGCAAAAAGAAGCCAAAGAACAAAAAGTGTTGATTCATATTGTGGAGGTTAGTGGCCATGGAAAGAGCCTTAGATGATCTTGGGAGGTGAAAGTCCACTTTAGGTTCAACTAGAATGGTCCTTCAAATATTTCTTGGGATGATTTTTCTAGCGTGAGGGCTAATTTACTTTGATAAATGATCGGAACTGCATCACTTGGCTACTTGAGAGTTTCTCCTGCCAAAGTCTGTCCATGTAAATAAAAGTGAGTGAATCAGTGGAAATGGGAACAGTGTTGCTAACAGCGAATTTGGTTCATTTAAGGTGTGGTGCCTGTCCTTTCTGTGCCAACTCGTAGCACGTAGGGCTGGGTTGTATACAAAGTTGACTAGACGCCTATCCTGCATCCACCCCTGGGCCGGGCCCAGGAATACTAAGCCCAGCTCTTTGGACTGACCTTTCCGCGTTGTACGTTTCACCAAGGTAAGAGACTATGAGCTAATTAGTCAACGTTCATTATCCTCAAGCTGAGTGTTGCTTGCCAGGTCATACGTGCAAATGCTGGCCAACTTTTATTCCACATGAGTCACCAAAGAGGCTGATGGTATTTTGGCATTGTGATCGGGAAGAAGTGACAGCTCCAAATTCAGTCTTTTTGGCTTCGTGGTCAATAAGCCCAGGGTGCTGAGAGAAATAATATGACTCAATGTATAACTGTTGAGTATCTTTATCCACTTAGCACGGCCAGTAGCAGGAGCGATGACACGTATCGCGTACTGAAGCACACACACAAAGTGTTTTATTTACACTGGAGCTAAATTGTAGGGCAATAAAGGGAACCTGTCGTGAGAGCAACATGGAGGCTGCCATTGCCACCAGGTATTGCCAGCCACCAGTTGAATAGGAGCTGCAGTGAAGCCTTTTTTCTTAGCTCCCGTGTATGACCTCTTGAGGAAGAAGCCACCCAGAAGAATTTATGGCAATCTGTCACTTTGCCCACGCCCCTCGCCCAATACGCACCTTCCCTGCAGTAGCCTACTACTCCTTCGCTCCTTTGCAGAGCCCTCTTTGTGAGGTCCCAACACTGTTGCTTGAGGAAGAGGTGAAAAAAGTTAACCTTGAGTACCCTCTGACACTATCCAATATGCATCTTACAAAGGGTTTAAAACACCTATCTCTGGTGAAGAAGGTGAATTTCAGTGGGTGGGGGTTGTTATTGCAAGAAAACCTAACACTTTGCCCATAATGGACAAGGTAACACTTAGTGCCCATCTGTCGTGGTCAGGCTCAGAGACCAGTAGCTATAGCTGTAGAGAGGATCCCACTGACCAGCTGGATAAGTGCCCAAGCAGGTCACTCTGGCAGATGATGAAGACTCACCTGAGGTGCAGGATCTAAGCACTAACCGGTATTTACCAGAGCTCCTGATGGTGAAGATGGGTTAGCTGCATATTAGCACCAGGTCATGGTCCTCAGGATTGCCCCACCAGGAGGTAAGCAGGCTGGGGTCCAGTAGCAGATACAGCAGATAATAGCAGGTAGAGATCAAGCAGAAGCGTAGTCAGAAAACCAGCCAAAGGTCGGTAACAAATGATTGCAGGTTGGGATCAAAGCAGAAGCAGACTTCGAGGAACAAGCCAAAGGTAGGTAATGAAGAGCTGCAGGTTGGGATCAAGCGGAAGTATAGTAGAGGAACAAGCCAAAGGTAGGTAATGAAGATCTGCAGGTTGGGATCAAGCGGAAGTATAGTAGAGGAACAAGCCAAAGGTAGGTAATGAAGAGTTGCAGGTTGGGATCAAGCGGAAATATAGTAGAGGAACAAGTCAAAGGTAGGTAATGAAGAGCTTCAGGTTGGGATCAAGCAGAAGTATAGTAGAGGAACAAGTCAAAGGTAGGTAATGAAGACCTTCAGGTTGGGATCAAGTGGAAGTATAGTAGAGGAACAACCCAAAGGTAGGTAATGAAGAGCTTCAGGTTCGGATCAAGCTGAAGTATAGTAGAGGAACAAGCCAAAGGTAGGTAATGAAGAGCTTCAGGTTGGGATCAAGCGGAAGTGTAGTAGAGGAACAAGCCAAAGGTAGGTAATGAAGACCCGCAGGTTAGGATCAAGCTGAAGTATAGTATAGGAACAAGCCAAAGGTAGGTAATGAAGATCCGCAGGTTGGGATCAAGCAGAAGTATAGTAGAGGAACAAGCCAAAGGTAGGTAATGAAGACCCGCAGGTTGGGATCAAGCGGAAGTGTAGTAGAGGAACAAGCCAAAGGTAGGTAATGAAGATCCGCAGGTTGGGATCAAGCAGAGGTATAGTAGAGGAACAAGCCAAAGGTAGGTAATGAAGACCCGCAGGTTGGGATCAAGCGGAAGTGTAGTAGAGGAACAAGCCAAAGGTAGGTAACGAGTGGCAGTGGTGATAAGGACAGCTGCAGGTAGGCAAAGGAGCAAGATATCAGCTGGAGAGAGAACACTTATCTGGAAAATGGGAGGTGCAAATGCACAGGTTAAATAGGAAGTTCATGGGAGGAGCACAGAGTTCAGGGTTCATCAGAAACGAGGTATAATGTAAGATCATCCAAGGAATACATCAGGAGGCTGTCCAGCACCTTAGGTGGCTGAGCGAGAAGAGCTACTACTGGGTGCAGCAGAAGTTGTAGGTTCAGATCCCAGTCCTGACAACCATCCATGGGCAAAATCATCCCCCCACGTATTTAAGTATCATGCA